GTTCTACATTTTTCTCCAGCTCTGTCCGGGACCCTCTATTGTGATCCCTGTCAGAGCAGTCAGTGGTGGTAGCCAGGCACCATCTAGTTGTGCTGGACTCAGTCTGGTGGAGGCTGTAGTTGTTGTGGTCATTAATCCTTTGGACTAATCTTTCCCTTGTATCTTTCGTTTTCTTCATTCTCCCTTGCTCCCAATGGGGTGAGACTAGTGGAGTATCTTAGATGGCCGCTCACAAGCTTTTAAAACCCCAGATACTACTCGCCAACGTAGAATGTAGAACATTTTCTTTGTAAACTTTGTTATGCCAGCTGAGCTATTTGTTCCCCAAGACTATGGTCCCACAGCCCTCAGCCCAGTAATTTGGTCCCTCAGGGAGTTTGGACGTGTCTGTGGCACTTCCATGACCTTGCCTTGGACAAGTTGTGCTGGCTTCCTCCAAAAAGTTTTTGCCAGCTGATTGTTTGGAAGTAGATCACCTAGCCTTTCTTCCAAGGCACCTCTGAGTGGACTCGAACCCCCAACCTTCCAGTTAGCAGCTGAGTGCATTAATCGTTTGCCGCACCCAGGGACTCCATGCTGTGCATAGGAAGCTGCAAATGGCAGCTGTGAGGGGAAGCTATGAGGATGCAAAGCAAGTGAGATCCTGCTTAGGGTCCACAGAGCTACTGATTTTTCCATCAACCAAGTGAGCCCTTTCTGAAACTCCCATGGTTCCTAGCTATGCCAATGGGCAAAAATTCTTTTTTGGATTTTGAAGGATGGATGTTCTTTGATCAATTATTTGTTCTAGCTTCTGGAGCCCAGCTCTTCCTAATGGAGATCTCAGCACTTCCCTCTACCACAGGCCAGCTCCCTGAGGCCCTTTCCCGTTTATGAGCAGTTGCTCTCGCCTGGAGGCTGCCAGCTCCTCTCCCTTTCTTGGAATCTCAGGCTGGCTTCCCTAAAAATGAGACCTCACGTGTGTGTGTGGGGGGGGGGACGGGGGTGTTGTAAGATTGGGAATTTTTCTGTGATCCAGTTTTTCTGTTTGGTCTGACCCATAAAGTGCCCGTGGTTCTTCCTTGATCTTCTTGAAGCTTAAAGAACATTATTGAGTTCTACTGTGGAATAAGTGCTAGGCTACACTCTCTGCCCTCAGGGAACTTGGACTCTAATCAGGAAGCCAGCACACATCCCAGGCTCCACATCAGGCTCCACCGAGTGCCAAAGGACCACACAACAATACTGCTGTGTGTTCAGAGGAGGGAGAGGTCCAGGTGGTGAGAAGGCCTGGGTGGGGTCTTTGGAGGAAGAAAGACCTGAGCTGGGCCCTTTCTTAGATCTTTTAAATCCACAAGTGCCAGGACACTCAACATCAGCATCTGTTCCAGAAAGTTCTGGGCTGAATGTGACCTAAGACAATCGGTATGTGGAGCAGGAGTCCAAGTGTCTGAGAGCAAAAAGTATTTATGCCTGTTTGCGGAGCAGTTAACCTGCATTGTTTACAGCCCAGGAAGCCAGAAGGTAGATAATTTGAAGCCACTCAGGAAAAGAAATTCTTCTAAAGAATGACTTGGATTCAGTATTATGTAACTTGTTTTTTTCTTAAATATTCCACCAGACTGTGAAGTCTGTCAGCAGTAGGGGGTGTGTCTTATTTGACTGGACTGGCATGTCAGAGGTTCTGACCAATTGACTGAGGAGCAAAGTCAGTGTCCAGGGTCCCAGCTACTGAGTGCAAACTCTCCACAAAGGCTAACACTGCTTGGTTGGAAATACAAAGGAACTGACACCACCTGGAATTTTCTTCTCTCTGGTACCTCCCTCTCCTCTTCTTATTTGCACTTCTAACCCAAACCCTGGCCACAAGCTCTGGGTACAACTTTTGTCCTCTAGGTAGAAGAAGGAACAATTCTGTTAACATATTCATGTGGCCCAGCACTAGAGGACAAGAAGCTAAATGATTTGTCCCAGGTTGGATAGCCAGCAAGTGGTGGGCCTTCTGACCCCAAATATGGCACCTTTTGTACAATGTTAGCTGTTACCTTGCTGGAGTAGGCAGGACTCTTGATACTCTTTGATATGTGGTTGTCTATATCTACTGGGCCACCACCCACCTGTCTCTCAGTTTGTCGTACTGTGGTAGCTTGTTTGTTGCTATGATGCTGGAAGCTATGTCACCAGTATTTCATACATCAGAAGGGTCACCCATGGTGTGTACAGGTTTCAGCGAAGCTTCCAGACTAAGACAGATTAGGAAGAAAGGCCTGGTGACTTACTTCTGAAAATTAGTCAATGGAAACTCTATGGATCACAATCCAGAACATTGTCTGACTCACTTGCTTTGGACATGCCATCAGGATGGATCAATCGCTGGAGGAGGACATCATGTTTGTGAAGTAGAGGGCCAGAGAGGGTGAGGGAGAGCCTCAGTGAGATGGACTGGCACAGTAGCCAAAACGATGGACTCAGACATGCTGGTGATTGTGAGGGTGACGCAGGACCAGGCAACGTTCGCTTCTGTTGTCTGTAAGGTTGTTATGAGTTGGAGTTGATGCCAGAGCAGCTATCTGTCTGTCTGTCTGTCTATCTCTATCTATCTGTCTATCTGTATCTGTCTGTCTGTCTATCTGTCTACCTACCTACCTACCTACCTATCTATCTGTCTACCTATCTACCTATCTACGTATCTATGCCCATAGGCACCACTGTCCTGCTTTTTGGCAGGCCCACTCTGACCTGAGATGTGTATGTGGCTAACATCTTGGGAAACCCGGAAGCCAGAGTCTGAGGCACCGAATCCTTTTCCAGGAACAGGAATAACTGGAGATACTTGTCTCTCACAGTGGCCCCACCTTTTGTGGTAATTGAGAGTGCCTTTCCTTGGGGTGACTCACTCAGAGAGGACCCCATTAGGTACTTAGAAGTGCTTTTCTCCTTTTATGGCAGTTCTGGAGACAGCAGAGAGAAGCCTCTTCACTGGGTGTCTCTGGGTGTCTCCCCACAACTTTAAAACTCATTCTCTGTCCACGCTGTTCAGAAGCCACGGTGCAGGAGCCATTGCTGGGATGTGTGCTGTTGTGTCTTCCATCACCTTTAGATACGCAGCCCATGTTTCCCCTCCCCCTGGAATGGGTCACTGTGTGTAAGCCTTTTTCATAGATCAAGACCTGCCATTGCCCCAGACAGGCCAGCCCTCCCTCTCCCCACCCCACTCCCAGACCTCAGGTCTTAGGTCTCAGATAACCACTTTGAGGGCTGGGTGCTGAGTCAACCTTACCTGCCTTTTGAAGAATGTCTTTGTGAGACAAGTCCCCTGCCAGCTGCTTCCCTCCCCAGGGGATCTGGGTTCCCCCAGGCTTCAGTGGGAGAGGGAAGAGGCGTTTAATTTATGCCCTCTGAGTTTCAATACAGCATAATGACTCACAGCTTCTAACACAGATATTAGCTGTTAAAGGCAATTAGTAAGCTGATCTTTGTTTTTTGTTTTTTTTTTGCTGTCTCATGCCCTTGTGAATGGAAGCAGGAAAGTGACAGGGCCTTTGAAGTTTGAAAAGGATTAAGTTTGTGCCTTGGCACACATTTTGGCAGAAAACGCTTAGTGAGTTGCAGGAGTCAGGTAATGCTTGGCTGTGGGGTCACAGCAGGCAGCCCCGAGCGCTCAGACAGGCACTTGCCTAGGCTGGTGGGGGTGCTTTGTGTGCCCTCCGCCAGCAGAGATTACAGAGCACCTAAATGAGACAGTCATGGTGGCAACAGCAGTGATAATAGTAATAATGACAAGCACCAACATTTCTGGGGCCTTTACAAAGTGCCAGGCACTATACCAAGTTCTTATGTAACACATATTATCTCACTCAATTCTCACAATAGCCCTGTGAAGTACTTTATTTGTCTCTGTTTCACAGGGGAAGAAATGGAAGTTTAGAGATGGTAAGTAAACTTGTCCAAAGTCTCAGCTGCTAAATAGAAAAACTGGGACTCTAACCTGACTGTCGGGCTCTAGAGCCCACACTCCCTGCCACGATCTTCTGATTCATGGGCTTTGGGGTCACACTGGAGTCCCTGGGTGGTGCAAACAGTAAATGCACTCAGCTGTTAACCAAAAACTTGGAAGTTCAAGTCCACCCAGAGGCACCTCAGAAGAAAGGCCTGGCGATCTACTTCTGAAAAATCATCCATTGAAAACCTTATGGAGCTCAGTTCTACTCCAACACACATGGGGTGGCCATGAGTTGGAATACACTCAGCAGCAACTGATTACTGTTTGGGGTTGCTTGGATAAGTACCTCAATTTTATCATTTGTGAGATGGAGACAGGAATTATATTTACCTAATATGGTTGTCGTATGGGTGCTATGAGGCAATCCACGTAAAGTGCTTTAAATGATGACCAGCACAACATATGTACTCAGCACACTTTAGCTGATACTTGCTGAGTTCCGCCCTAGGAGGGTGCTGGCACCCAGTGGAAACTTTGCACCTATGTTTAGCTTGAGGCTGGCTCCTGACAGCAGCTCCAGAGGTCAGATTTTCCTTCTTATGGAAGAAAGGCCAGGCCCTCTGGTGGACAGTACTGTTGCCCTTGGCGAACTTCTGGTGCACGGGGCTCCTTCCTCCTTAACATCCTCCTTTCCTCTTGCCAGGCTGAACTTCGGTGCACCCAGTTGGACCTGGACCGGAAACTCAAGCTGAATGAAGATGCCATTGCCAGGCTGCAAGCAAATCATAAATCTGTTTTGGTAAGGCTGGTCTGGGTGCCTAGTCAGTCTTCTGCACAGCTGAATGCTGCTGCAGGGTCAGTCAGGCCTGTGGGGAGGAGCCTGGTGCTGTGGGCCCAGCCCTCCATGTCCGTGGCTCCAATGGGAATTGTAGGTACGGTCTGCTGCAGCATGGGGTAGCCTCACCTTGCTGTTGAGATTTGTTATGAAAATAGTTTCTTTCAAAGCTGGTAAGTGGTTATTTTTTGATAATGTAGAGTGGTGCCAGGACTACTCTTGTAACAACAGCATTCTTGTTTTTACATTGCATATGCGTTCTTGATAAGGAGAAAATGGGGTGTGTGGGTAGGCAGCGGTGTTCAGTCAGAGCCCCAGGAATTATGCATAGTGTTGACATCTTCCACATGGAGGGTACTCTGCATGTGAGTGTCACCAGTACTGTGCCACGGCAGTGGGGAGAAGGAGTTGAGAACTGCTGGATTAGTGGACGGTCCTTGATAAGGTCAATGGTGTGCCTGGCCACTTAGCTTTAGTCTCTCTGGTTGATGACCACTTTCATATAAACTCCTAAGCAGACCCAAGCAGTCCCACAGATGTCTGTCATTAGTGGCAAACCAGTGACTGCCACTCAGGAGAATGTAAAACACTTACCCTAAGGCAGTGAGTCAGCGGCATCATCTTTGTATGCCAAGAATGATTTCTTCCACCCATTCATCCTTCCATCTGTCCATCCATCCGCCCACCTGCCCACCCATCCACCCATCCACCTATCCACCTGTCCATCTGTCCACCCATCCACCCGTCCACCCATCCGTCCGTCCATCTGTCCATCTGTCCATCCGTCCATCCATCCATCCATAAACTTGGACTGACTCTGTAAATATAATGTTTATTGAAGGCCTTTGTAAAAAATTTTCACTATATGAGAGTGCCACATGCACAAGGGTCATCACGTAAATCATTAATATTTGTCACAGTGATTTTGCTTTCTTTTTTATCTGAATGTGGCATCCCACTCTGCACATGTGTGTGCATCTGCTAGTTCCCGAGGACTGCAGTCATCTGCACACAGCCTAGATAATTTGTGGGGTCTTTGTACCTGATAGAGACACTGTCAGCTGAGATCTGCTTTCAGCTCTGATGCACCCAGTGGTCAGTTTAAGCAGGCAGAAGAAAATGCTAAAAAAGCTAGTTTATGCTACAGATTAGTATACTCAAAGTCAAATTATTAATTTACTGTGAGAAATATAACTACCAACTGAACTGAATAAATACATTTCCCTGGTAGGAATACTGATGTCAGGAACCTGAATAACAGCCCCAGCCTGTCAGAGCTGGAGGGATCTCAGAGATCATATAATTCACTCTCTCATCAAATGGATGAGGAGACTAATTTAACGATTGGCAAATAAGTACTTACACCCTAGAGACTAGTTGCCGTTGAGCCAGCTCCAACTCATGGCAACCCCATGTGTGTCAGAGTAGAACTGTGCTCCATAGGGTTTTCAGTGACTAATTTTCTTGAAGTATATCGCCAGGCCTTTCTTTTGAGGCACCCATAGGTAGACTCAAACTGCATTGCAGTAAATTCTTTTTCAAAGAATCTAGAATTCATATGAGAATAAGAGCTTCCTTTTACAATAGAAAATTGGTCTCCGATTTATGTGTTTCTCACATTTTTGTTTTTATGTGTTGAGTTCCAATAAAATCGGACACCTTGCTAACAGGTTCTTGGCTCTCTGCCCCTCCCCACCAGGTGTCAGTCTCGGAGGTGAAGGTGGTGGCTGAGGAGCAGTTTGGGGAACTCCTGGCCGCTGTGACGAAGGCCCAGTCTGATGTGATGCTCTTCTTGGAGGAGAAGGAGCAATCTGCTCTGAGCCAGACCAACGGCATCAAGGACCACCTGGAGCACAGGAGTGCACAGATGGAGAAAAGCAAGCAGGAGCTGGAGAGGGTGGCCGCCATCAGTAACACTGCCCTATTCCTGGAGGTAAGGCGGGTAGGGGGAGCAGAGGAGGCATCCATGTGACGGGCCCCAGGGAGTACCCATGCTCACCTCAACCTGTGTTAGAAATTTGGCTATAGAGTCAAAGACAGCTGGGTGGGGATGGCAGATTGTAGGCAACAATGGAACTGTTAGTGATAAGCGGGGTGCATGGAGAGCTGTGGGAACAGGGAGAAGCAGGTCTTGAGTCAACAAAATGAAGGAGAGAGAAGCTTGAACCAGGTCTTGGAAGATAAGTAAGATTCAAGGAGAAGAATGTTTCAGGTAGAGAAAACAGCATTGCAAAGGTGGAGAAGTTTGGTAAAGCATAGCAGCTTTAGGAAACTAAGGCATTTTAGCAAGGGTGGAGCACAAGACGCTGTGACATGAGGCTGCAGTACCAGTCAGGCATCAGCAGTTTATGACCAGAATGTTGTTGTTGTTGTTAGGTGTGATTGAGTCAGCTACAACTCCTAGTGACCCCACTTACAAGAGAACGAAACACTGGCCAGTCCTGCGCCATCCTTACAATTGTTGCTATATTTGAGCCCATTGTTGCAACCACTGTTGTCAATCCATCTCATTGAGGGTCTTTCTCTTTTTCACAGACCCACTGCTTTACCAAGCGTGGCGTCCTTCTCCAGGGACTGGTCCCTTCTGGTAACCTGTCCAAATTGCGTGAGACAAAGTCTTGCCATCCTCGCTTCTAAGGAGCATTCTGGCTCTATTCTTCCAAGACAGATTTGTTTGTTCTTCTGGCAGTCCATGGTATATTCAATATTCTTTGCCAACACCATAATTAAAATGCATTAATTTTTCTTTGGTCTTCTTAATTCATTGTCCAGCTTTCACATGCATATGAGGCGACTGAAAATACCATGGCTTAGGTTAGGCACACCTTAGCTGCCAAAATGACATCTTTGCTTTTTAACTCTTTAAAGAGGTCTTTTGCAGCAGATTTGCCAAATGCAATGTGTTGTTTGATTTCCTGACTGCTGCTTCCATGAGCACTGATTGTGGATCCAAGTAAAATGAAATCCTAGACAACTTCAATATTTTCTCCGTTTATCACGATGTTGCTTGTTGGTCCAGTTGTGAGGATTTTTGCTTTCTTTATGTTGAGGCGTAATCCATAGTGAAGGCTATGGTCTTTGATCTTCATCAGTAAGTGCTTCAGGTCCTCTTTGCTTTTAGCAAGCAAGGATGTGTCATCTGCATATCGCAGGTTTTAATGAGTCTTCCTCCAATCCTGTTGTGGCGTTCTTCTTTATATAGTCCAGCTTCTCGGATTATTTGCTCAGCATACAGACTGAATAGGTATGGTGAAAGGATACAACCCTGACACACACCTTTCTTAACTTTAAACCACACAGTATCCCCTTGTTTTGTTCAAATGACTGCCTCTTGGTCTATGGACAAGTTCCTCATGAGGACAATTAAGTGTTCTGGAATTTCCATTCTTTGCATTGTTATCCATAATTTGTTATGATCAACAGTTGAATGCCTTTGCATAGTCAATAAAACACAGGTAAAACAACTTTCTGGTACTGTCTGCTTTCAGCCAAGATCCATCTGATATGGGCAGTGATATCCCTCATTCCACGTCCTCTTCTGAATCCGGCTTGAATTTCTGGCAGTGCCCTGTTGATGTACAACTGCAACTGTTTTTGAATTATGTTCAGCAAAATTTTACTTGCATGTGATATTAATGATATTGTTTATTTCTGCATTCTGTTGGATCACCTTTATTTGGAATGGGCACAAATATGGATCTCTTCCAGCTGGTTGGCCAGGTAGCTGTCTTCCAAATTTCTTGGCATAGACAAGTGAGTGGTTCCAGCATTACCTCCATTTGTTGAAACATCTCAGTTGGTATTCTGTCAATTCCTGGAGCCTTGTTTTTTGCCAATGCCTTCAGTGCAGCTTGCATTTCTTCCTTCAATACCATCGATTCTTGATCATATGCTACCTCCTGAAATGGTTGAACACGGACCAAATCTTTTTGGTACGGTGACTCTATGTATTCTTTCTATCATCTCTTGATGCTTCCTGCATCATTCAATATTTTGCCCATAGAATCCTTCAATATTGCAACTTGATGCTTGAATTTTTCCTTCAGATCTTTCAGTTTGAGAAATGCCAAGCATGTTCTTCCCTTTTGGTTTTGTCTCTCCAGGTCTTTGCACGTCATTATAATACTTTACTTTGTCTTCTAGAGCTGCCCTTTGAAATCTTGTGTTCACCTCTTTTACTTCATCATTTCTTCCTTTTGCTTTAGCTACTCTATGTTCAAGAGCAAGTTTCAGAGTCTCTTCTGACATCCATTTTGTTCTTTTCTTTCTTTCCTGTCTTTTTAATGACTTCTTGCTTTCTTCACGTATGATGCGTTTGATGTCATTCTACAACTTGCCTGAACTTTGGTCATTAGTGTTCGGTGCATCAAATCTATTCTTGAGATGGTCTCTAAATTCAGGTAGGAAATAGTCAAGGTTGTACTTTGGCTCTCGTGGACTTGTTTTAAATTTTTTCAGCTTCAACTTTAACTTGCATATGAGAAATTGATGATCTGGTTCCACAGTCCATCCCTGGCCTTGTTCTGTTTAGGGATACTGAGATTCTCCATCATCTCTTTCCAAGGATGTAGTCGATTTGATTCCTGTGTATTCCATCTGGTAAGGTCCATGTGTATAGTTGCTATTTTTGTTGTTGAAAAAAGGTATTTGCAGTGAATAAGTTGTTGTTTTTGCAAAATTCTATCATGTGGTCTCCGCCGTCATTTCTATCACCAAGGCCGTATTTTCCAACTACCCATCCTTCTTGTTTCCGATTATCCCATTCCAATAACTAGTAATTGTCAATGCATCTTGATTTCATGTTTGATCACTTTCAGACTGCGGAAGTTGATAAAAATCTTAATTTCTTCATCTTTGGCCTTCGTGGTTGGTGCGTGAATTTGAATAATAACTGGTCTTCCTTGTAGGTGTATGGATATTATCCTATCACTGACAGCGTTGTACTTCAGGATAGATCTTGAAATGTTCTTTTTGAGGATGAATGTGATGCCATTCCTCTTCAACTTGTCATTTCTGGCATAGTAGACCATATGACTCTTCAATTCAAAAGGGCCAATACCAGTCCATTTCAGCTCACTAATTCCTAGGATATCTATTTCATTTTTGATGACTTCCAATGTTCCTAGATTTGTACTTCATACATTCCACATTCCAATTACTAATGGATGTTTGCAGCTGTTTCTTCTCATTTTGAGTCATGCCACATCAGCAAGTGGAGGTCCAGAAAGCTTTACTCCAACCATGTCATTAAGGTCGACTCTACTTTGAAGAGGCAGCTCTTCCCCAGTTGTATTTTGAGTATCTTCCAACCTGAGAGGCTCATTTTCTGGCATATATTAGACAGTGTTCTGCTGCTGTTTATAAGGTTTTCACTGGCCAGTCCTTTCAGAAGTAGACCTTCAGGTCTTTCTTCCTAGTATGTCTTAGTCTGGAAGCTCCACTGAAACCTGTCCACCATGGGTGACTCTGCTGGTATTTGAAATACCAGTGGCATAGCTTCCAACAAACATCACAGCAACATGCAAGGCACCACAGTATGACAAACAGAGAAGTGGTGGATGACCAAAATAGCTTGTTCTTTATCATGAAGTCTTTAGGCCAGGGATCCTGTGATCACATCAGTTATGTTTGATAAGCCCTGATGGCAGTGTATGGAGGACTGCCTGGTGGGATGAGACTGGAGATCTGCTGCCTTTCAGAGAGAGCAGTGTGTACCGGGGTGATTGAGGAAGGCTCCTGGAGCAGGTGGGGCTTTTTCATTACAATGTACCATTATACAGTAAGTGATATCCCATTAGAACCACGTCTGGAGAACATGGAGTTTTGCAGGGAAGGAGCCCTGAACCTGTCACTGAATGTTATTAGCTGCTGTCAAATCGGCTTGCCATTCATGGAAGTCCCGTGCACAATGGAATAAAACTCAGCCCTGTCCTGTACCATCCCCATGATCATTGTGGATCAGACCGTTGTGATCCATAGGGTTTTCATTGGCTGATTTTTTTTTTTTTATTGTACTTTAGATAAAGGTTTACAGAACAAATTAGCTTCTCATTAAACAATTAGAACACATTGTTTTCTGACATTGGCTAACAACCCCACGACATGTCAACACTCTCCCTTCTCGACCTTGGGTTCCCTATTACCAGCTTTTCTGTCCCCTCCTGCCTTCTAGTCCTTGCTCCTGGGCTGGTGTGCCACTTCAGTCTCATTTCGTTTTATGGGCCTTTCTAATCTTTGGCTGAAGCATGAACCTCAGGAGTGACTTCATTACTGAGCTAAAAGGGTGTCCAGGGGCCATACTCTTGGACTTTTTCCTGTCTCTGTCGGGCCAGTAAATCTGGTCTTCTTTTGTGAGTTAGAATTTTGTTCTACATTTTTCTTCAGCTGTGTCTGGGACCCTCTATTGTGATCCCTGTCAGAGCAGTCACTGGTGGTAGCTGGACACCATCTAGTTGTGCTGGACTCAGTCTGGTGGAGGCCATCGTAGTAGTGGTCCATTAGTCCTTTGGACTAATCTTTCCCTTGTATCTTTAGTTTTCTTCATTCTCCCTTGCTCCTGAAGGGGTGAGACCAGTGGAGTATCTTAGATGGCTGCTAACAGGCCTTTAAGATCCCCGACACTACTCACCAAAGTAGACTGTAGAACATTTTCTTTATAAACTATGTTATTCATTGGCTGATTTTTGAAAGTAGATACCAGGCCTTTCTTCTTAGTCTGGAAGCGCAACTGAAACCTGTTCAGCATCGTAGCAACATGAATGCCTCCCCTGACAGACAGGTGGTGACTGGGTATGTGGTACATTGGCTGAGAGTCAAATCCAGGTCTCCCATATCAAAGGTGAGAATTCTACCACTGAACCACCGTTGCTCTCTGTCACTGTGTGGTTTTTAGAAAGTCAGTTAACCTTTTTGGGGCTCAAATCCTTCATTTATCAAATGAGCAGGTTGAAGCAAGTAACTTCCAAGACTCCTCTCCCTTCTAATATGTGTAAATACAAATATTTTTTCTTGATTCTGTTTTTGAAAAAATTCCCTTCTAACTACAACAAACATAAATCTTTATTGTGGAAAACTTGGAAAATACAGAAAAATGTGAAGGAAAAAAATCACCCATAATCCCTTCACTCAGAGATAACCAGAGTTGGAGAAGTAGACAGAGAAAGATGGACAAAAATACTGACAGAATGTCCCTCTTTCTGCCCATTCCTTTGCTTTTCAATATCAAACTACAAAGAAAATATGAATAATGAAAAACCAGACTTCCTTTGTCATGGGTTTCCTCAAAATGCCTACCCAAAGGGTACATGTATAATTTTGCTTTGCTGTCTTTTCTCCTTTTATAACTTCATTTTTAACATAAAAAAATTTAATATGTATAAAATATATTTTAACATAGGATTATTTATTTATTTATTTTGGTGAAAGAGAATTTATTTTTCCCCAAATTGTTAGTCAGGTGAACCAATACTATTTATTGAATAATCCATCCTTTCCTCCACTGATTTAAAATGCTACTTTTATTATGTATAGTACTAAATGTATATACAATATTAAAATATTTATCTATCTTTTTCTCTGTCAACTCTCTGGTTTTGTTTTTTCCTTCTGTTCCATTGATCTGTCTAACTATTTTGTTACAACTGTTTTCATAACTAGGTTTTCTCCTTTATCTGGTTTGCTCTTCAATGCTTCAACTATATTTGAATTTTAATAATATTTTAACATCTGAAAGCAATTTTTCCTTATCACCATGTTGTTTCAAAACTTAAGTGGTTTAATGTGATTATCTGTGTGAAAACCCTTTGCAAACTCTAGAGTACAAGAATTACAGAAAATTATTTATTGAGTTGAATTGACAAAGACAAGGCAGCACTCCTGTCAGAAGACTTGCTTGTGGTCTTTAGAATGCTACAATCAGCTCCTTCGTTCCTGCTGTGGCTTGTGTTTAAAATAGCATAGGAAAGTACTAAGGGATTGTTATCTCTGTCCCATTTATGTGAAATATCTGTAATAGGCAAATGCATAGAGATAAAAGTAGATTAGAGGTTGCCGTAGGCTGGGAGGGAGATAGGGATGGAGAGTTTTTGCTTAAGGGGAACAGAAGTTCTTTTTGAGGTGACGAAAAAATTTTGGAAATAGTGATGATGGTTGCACAACATGGTGATGTAATTAATGACACTGAGCCGTATGCTTAAAAACGGTTAAAATGGTAAGTTTTTGTTATATGTATTTCACCACAATAGAAATTAAAAAAAAAAAAAAGCAACTTGAAAATAAAAGAAAGTGTTACCTCCATTTGGGGTGTTGGCATCAAATGTGTTCTTGTACTTTGTCCCCAGTCTGGGCTGTCTAACAGAGCTGTTCATGGATGTCTAGTATCTCCTCATTTCTAACAGCCTGCTTTCCCAGTGTAAGAGATAAGTGCTTTCCATGTTGTCAGCTGCAAGCTGGACGCTTTGTGTACACTTCCTTTGTGTAATACACATTGCTATAAATCCCATTTTATAGATGCAGAAACTGACATAATGAAGAGAGAACCCCAATTTAAGAAACACAGAAGCTAGAACAGCTTCTGCCATTTTTCCTTTTCTGCAGGAATACTGCAAGTTTAAGAACATGGAGGAGACTGCCTTCCCGAGTGTTTACATTAGACTCAAGGATAAGCTCTCTGGCATTCGCAAGGTCATCACGGACTCCACAGTACACTTAGTCCAGCTGCTGCAGAACTATAAGGAAAAGCTCCAGGAGTTTGCCAAGGAAGGTGAGAAGCATTCTGGGTATCAGCTGTGGTATGTGTGTCTCTTGGAGTGGTTGATACGAAAACGAGAGAGGACAAGGAAAGTGAGGGCGAAATCAGGGCGAATGTCTTGTTTTTCAAAGCCATCCTTTGGCCAGTCCGTGTTACTGATGGACTTTTATCTTGATGATTTTATTTTACAGCTGAGTCCCAGAGAAGATGAGTTCAGCATATCATGCAGTAGACTAGCATTTGTAAGACTAGCTTCTCAGGTGGCTGATGCCTGTACTTCTAAGTGAAATCCAGTGAGTTTGGAATCTTTTTTGGTTTATTTTGCTTCATCAGTGAGAGAAATATGGTCCATTGAGATGGTTCTCTGAGATGTTACTGGAGTCTGGCCCATCCTTCCCCCAGGAAGCTCTGAGTAGGGTGGCTGGGAAGTCCTGCTCTTTAGGTTCTTCTGACCACCTGGACAGGTGTACATTCACAACTCTTTGATTTTCTAGAGGAGTATGACATCAGAACTCAAGTGTCTGCCATCGTTCAACATAAATATTGGACCTCAAAACCTGAGCCCAGCAGTAGAGAAGAGTTCCTCCAGTGTAAGTTATGTGAACAGCTTCTCCTTCAACCGCTGATGTCAGCATGCTTCGCTGAAGCAGTAACTGCCATTTTTCATATAGGTTTCAGGTTCTTGCAACCTCTTGTCCATCCCTAAATGATACACTTTTAAATTTTAATATTTTTTAATTTTCATTTTGAAACAATTCTAGATTTACAAAAAAGTTGCAAAAATTGGACAAAGAATTCCCTTTCATGCAGCTTCTCCAAATGTTAACTCCTTATACAGCCACAGTACATTGATAAAAAAGAGGTCATTAGCATTGATACATGCTATCAATTAATATACATAATTTTTTCAAATTTCACAAATTGTTCACCAGATTTCCACCAATGTCCTTTTTCTGGCTCACACTCCAATTTAGATCACAGATGTCTTCAGGTCTTCTTAGTCTCCTCTAGTCTGGGACAGCCCCTCAGTTTTTCTTTGTATTTCATGACCTTGATACTTTTGAAGAATCTGTCTAGTTACTAAATGACACACCTTTGAGTCTAGCTTGGCCATAATCCATTTACCCTGTTTTTATGTAATATTGGCCTGGTCTGTTAACATTATTAAAAACACTGTATTTCTAATAGTTGTTAGCTGTCTTTGAGTCAGTCCCCAACTCGTGGCGACCCCATACACAATGGGATCGGACAGTTGTGATCCATAGAGTTTTCACTGGCTGATTTTAATTGATACTTCATTATAATGAACAATTCCACAAGGTTTCATCTCCTAGGAAGGGAATGACTGTGTAATCAGTGCTCGTGTTCATGACATTTGGCTAATTCATCTTTTTGGAGCATGCTGTGACTACTCCTGCTTGGTTTCTGCGGTGACCATTGGCAGAATAACTCTGGACCCCTTTTCTCCCTGGTCATTATGAGGACCTAGGGCTTTGGTGACTCTCTCCTATTCTTGACCAGCTCCTATTTTTCACCCAGATCCTTTTGGCTTCCACACAGTTTCCTTTATTTATTCTTTCCTGCTTCCTGATAGAAGCACATTTATATTTTATAAACAGACATAACTAATACAAGAAACCAAATACTCCTTATTCTTAGCATTAAAATAAAAGTTAAACATGTTTTTATAATCTCATTTCTTTTATATTACAAATATCTTTTTTGACATATAATATTAACTTTTCTGAGTATTATTACAAACTGTTAGCCTTTTATAGACCCAGCTTGTTTCAATTATCAAAGTTTTGCTGCTCAAATTGTCAACTTGGCCAGTCGTAATCACTTTCAGGGTGGCCTTTTTCTCCATTAAGCACCACCCTTGACATTCGTAAAAGCACTGTTTCTTCCTGACACTAAAAAATATACATATATATATTCCAGACCCATGTTGATTTTTCCTTGCCCCAAGACATAGAACCACTTACCCTCCAAGGAGACCTGCATCCTTTTAGAGGAGAAGGATATTATTGTCCAAAATCCAGATAAGGGTTGACATAAGCGCTGGTAGTAGGGCAGGAGTGCCACTGCTGGTGGTACACTCTTAGTAACTCAGAGCTGCAGAGTATGTGCCTTTTAAGTTGATGAGCTCATGCTCATTTTTCCTTTTTAACTTCTGTCTGTTTTTTCTTGCATCATGTGTTCTTATTGACTACTAAGAATTTCTCTTACATAAACACAAAGAAGTTAGGAAAACTCTGGGTTAAACTAAAATAATTTTAATTACAGGATTTTTATAGCCTTTAATATGCTAATCCATTTGTACATTGATCAATCAGGTATAAAATATCAAATATCCACGTTTTTGCTTCTCTGTTTAGCTGCCCACGCAGAGCTTCTTTCTCTGACCATAGCTACCTGGAGTTGTGTCAGATCTCACAAGTTAAAAGGACACTGTCCTTCAGACTGCCAAATAGGCAGATGCCAGCTGCAAGTTTGGGAGATGACGTGACACCCTCACTTCTGACCTGCTGGCTACAAATATGGGGTTTTCCCAGTACACCTTCATGATGCCAGCTGCAAGCTCAGAGGCCTCGCCTGAGCTCCCTCACTTCTAACCTGCTGGCTATAAATTTAGGGATTCCCTCTGCCCCTTCAAGATGCCAACCACAAAGTCAAGGGTTCCGTCCCCTCACTTCTGACCTACTGGCTCCCACAACTTCTTTGGATTCAATAATTTGCTGGACTGACTCACAGAACTCATGGAAAGTGCTATACTTATGATTACACCTTTATGATAGCAAAACAGGATGTAAATGAAGAGATGCATAGGGCAAGATCTGGGACGGTTCCCAACGTAGAACTTCCATGTTCCAAGGGATGCACTCTCCTCCCACGTGCATTGATGTCTTTCACCAACCAAGACACCCATGGAACTTCCATGTCCAGAGCCTTTATGGGCTTTATTACATAGCCATGACTGATTGCGTCAGTCCCCTCCCTCCTGTGAAGTCAGCTGATATCAGGCCAAGTAGTGGTAGTGCTCTTTCTGGTCAGGCCAGCCCCCACTCATTAGCACAAACCCCCAGGTGTGATCTAGAGGTTTAGATAACAAAGGCACCTCAGTTACTCAGGAAATTCCAAGGTTTTAGAGTTATCGCTCAGAGACTAAGGACAAAAGCCAACTTACTTGTGCTCAGTAATTGTTTACCCCACAATTTGGCTTATTAATTTATTTAAACATCTTCTCTGTGCTATAGCCCCAGGATAGAGTCCCACACAAAATATGGAGCTTATAGATTAGGAAGAAGATCAGTATTATACAAACACACAAGTAAATTATTACAAATTGTGATGAGTACCATGAAGTTTAAAAAAACAGAGTGCACTGAAAGAAAATAATGAGGAAGAGTATGATTCAGATCGGGGAGTCATAAAGGGTCTCTGAGGGCATGAACTCTCCACTGCAACCTGAAAGGATAAGTAGAAATCATTTGGACTAAGAGTAGGGCAGAGACTATATCATGGAGGGAATAGTCTGTGCTAAAGCCCTAATGTGGCTGTAGTGTTGGGTAGGTCTGCGGTCAGAGTGGCTGGAGTAGGGGGACCAAGGGGGAGAGGACAGGAGATGAGGTTGGGGACACAGGCAAGGGCCAGGTATTCAGGGCCTTGCAGAGCAAAGTGAGAGGGTCCCAGTTTTATCTTTAGTACAAGGGTTTTATGTTGAGGTGACATGATTCGCCTTAGCCTACACCTTTGCGCAAGCACTGTGGGTCTGTCATGGAGAATGTATTGAAGGGTAAGAGATAGGTAGGTAGATAGGTAGATAGAGTAAGACCAGTAAGGAGCCTGTTGCTCTAGCCTGGGTGAGATTTGGTGGGGACTTAGGTGGGGGTTGAAGCCACGTGGCTGGAGAGAAGTAGGTAGAATCTACCAGACTTTCTGCTGCTTCTGTGTGTGGGGAGAGGTGAGGAGGATGAGGGCAAAAGAGATGTCAAAATAACTTTCTCATTTTGACTTGAGCAACTGAGTGTATTCTCTGGGATGGGGGAACATGGAAGAAAAATACGTTTGGGGAAATGTTCGAGAGTTCACCATGTTAAATATTGGTCAAGTTTTTTAAAAAAATGAATAAATCAAACATGAATGTATGTGTGCCTATTTCCCCAAACCCTTGCCAACACTGGGTAGAATAGTGGCTGGCCTTCAATATATATTTGTTGGAGGAATTAATGAGTGGGTTAATGAATATTATTTCTTGATTCAGTTCAGCAAACAATGCAGTTATTGCCAAGCAGTTTGAGCTTCAGAAAGGAAGAAAGTGGAGTGACCTTTGTTCTCCATTTTCTGGTTTTTGCCCACCTGCTTTGGACAAGGAACAGCAGCCTGGGCCAACAGAGAACAGGGAGAGTTGATGTTGTCTCACATTTCGGAGCCGGCTGGGCTTCTAGTGTTCTCTGTGTCTCAGCTCTCAGTTCTTGAACCCCTAACCCTGCCTTCTCTATCTCCTCAGATGCCTGTAACATCACCTTTGACCCGGACACGGCACACAGGTATCTCCGGCTCCAGGATGACAACCACAAGGTCACCAACACCACGCCTTGGGAGCATCCCTACCCCGACCACCCCAGCAGGTTCATGCACTGGCGGCAGGTGCTGTCCCAACAGAGTCTGTACCTGCACAGGTACTATTTCGAGGTAGAGATCTCTGGTCCAGGCACCTACGTTGGCTTGACCTACAAAGGCATCGATAGGAAAGGGGAGGAGCGCAACAGCTGCATTTCTGGAAACAGCTTCTCCTGGAGCCTCCATTGGAATGGGAAGGAGTTTCAGGCTTGGCACAGTGACACAGAGACTCCCCTCAAAGCCAGTCCTTTCCGGAGGCTAGGGATATACATCAACTTCCCAGGAGGGACCCTCTCCTTCTATGGCATAGAGCCTGGTGCCATGACTCTGGTTCACAAGTTTGACTGCAATTTTTCTGAGCCAGTCTACCCTGCCTTCTGGCTTTCCAAGAAGGAAAACACCATCTGGATTGTGGATCTAGGAGAAGAACCTGAGAAGGCAGCACCACCCTCAGTGGAGGCTGCTTCCTAGACTCCGGGATCCATATCCCATGCCTTTGCTAGCCACAAAGATGGGGCAGCAGTTTGCATTTGAAGGGGGACTTGGGGGTGTTAATAACTGAGGGTGTTAATCAGTCCGCCAGCAGTGATAGTTGGCTTTCAAAACCACAAGGGTCCGTGAACCAAGAGAAGGGTCCCATCTGCTCCCCCTGCTCCATGCAGTGCTACTCTGTACCTTCATAGTTAGCCTCAGGCGTCTCCTCCAGGAAGGCCTAGGTCCCCTCTGTGTCTTCCAGTGACATGCTCCTGTCTGTGGAGGTAAACCTCACACTGTGCCCAACATTGGTAATGAGGAATCTTCAGGATGACCACAGAGTTTGCAGAGTAATCGTAATAAATTGCTAACGTTATTGGGCATTTCCTATATGCCAGACACTGTTTTAGTGCTTCTGTGCATCACCTCATTTAATCTTCACAGAGACCGCATGTGTAGATGCTTGTATCATCCCATTTTGCAGAGGGAGAAACTGTGGTCCAGGGTGGGTAGCTAACTAGTCACATGGTCAGTTAATGGCAGAACTGGAATTCACGTTTGAACTTCTAACCGCTATGCCATACTACCATCCTTATTATGTCATGGATGTTGTGTATAAGGTAATAAACCACCTGAAAAGTATTATTATGGACACAGAGAGTCGTAAACCTGCCTCTGACAGTTTGCAAATCCCTGTGCATGCACCTCATCTGACTGAGCCATCTATCTGTGCAGTGGCAGAGAGCTCACCACACCAAACCCAAAACCAAACCTGTTGCCATGGTGTCAATTCTGACTCTTGGTGACCCCATGTGTTACAGAGTAGTAACTGCTCCATAGGGTTTTCTTGGCTGTAATTTTTACAGAAACAGGTCACCAGGCCTTTCTTCTGCAGTGCTGCTGGGTGGGTTTAAACCACCAACATTAGGTTAGTAGCTGATTGCAAACTGCTTACACCACCCAGGGACCTTCTCACTACTGCACAGCACAGCTCATTCTGGTTTTGGACAGCAAGGACTATAAGAAACTTCTTGTCTGAGTCCAGTCTTAGTTTGGGTGACCTCTGGGGAGGGGCCTCAGTTCTCTCCTGAAGTCTGTGAAGTACCTGGCGTCTCCTTCACAGGAGGCTCTTCCAGCCGTGGAGGGCAGCGCTCATGTCCGCCCTAGAGCTATTCTTGTTTTCACACTCTGTTTCCCACTTTCCTTCATGGTTTCTAGACCTTTCCTCCCTGACCGTTGTTTTCTGTCTTGATAGATAAAGAGCTAAGACTCCTCAAGGGTTTAGTCAAACTACAAACCAAGTCACAAACCATCTTTAAATGAGGACATAGCTGAGGTTCCTGGCGGGGTTCACCAGAAATACAACCCGCGTCAACCCCGCCTTTCCCTCTTCTGCCAGTCTGATAATCCTACGTCAACAATGAATTTCTTCAGCATCGCTTGACTTGCTTCCAAAGCTCCCATCCTATATTTGTGTCTGATGACTTATACAGTGTAGGATTTAAATTTATTTTTACCTTAATTTCATCACATTATTGCTGCTTGCTGAGAGAATTTAGACTCATGATTCTGCATCCAACTTATTAGCTCTCCTTACAGGCCAGGTGTCATGTGCAGAATTGGAATAATTTCTTCTTAAATCTTAATCTTGTTGATAAAAATATGGAGTGGGGTAGGGCCAAATACATGAGCCCTGGTGGTACAATGGTTAAAAAGAGGAAAAAGAGGTGAAGAGAAATGGTTTCATTTTTACTTGCTTTTAAATATACACAAAATGGAGCAGTCCAGTTATATCTGTTTTTATTTGGGACTTCCAAGTTTCTCTGCAAAATTCTCAGGAAAACCCCTTATTAGACTTTGCGTAAGGGAGCCCTGGTGGCAGAGTGGTTAAAGTGCTCAGCTGCTAACCGAAAGGTCAGTAGTTTGAATCCATCAGCCACTCCACAGGAGAAAGATGTGGCAGTCTGTTTCCATAAAGATTTACAGCCTTGGAAACCCTGTGGGGCCATATAGGGTCATTATGAGTCAATATCAGCTTGACAGCAATGGGTTTGGTTTTTAGTTTAGGACCAAATACAGAGTCTAAGCCCTTTGGGTTTAGCTGTTCAGTAAATTCTGAATTGGTAAAGCCAGTTGCCATCGAGTTGATTCCGACTCACGGTAAGTATACGTGTTTCAGAGTAGAACTGTCCTCCGTAGGGCTTTTATGGCTGTGACTTGTAGATCACCAGACCTTTCTTCCAAGGTTTCCTGTTATGGATTGACTTGTTTCTCCCCAAAATATGTGTTGTAATTCTTAACCTCTATGCCTGGCATATAATCCCATTTGGGAATGACTTGTCTTTTTTGTGTTAATGAGGCAGGATTAGTGTAGGATGTGTCTCGAGTCAATGTCTTCTGAGAAATAAAAGAGATTAAACAAGCAAGCAAGCTAGCAGAGATGGAGGAAAAGCAGTACCAAGCCACATGATCACCCAGGAGCAGAAGGTCAAAGAGACAAGGATCTTCCTCCAGAGTTGGCAGAGAGAAAAAGCCTTCCCCTGAACCAGCACCCAGAATTTGGTCTTCTAACCTCCTAAACTGTGGGAAAATAAATTTGTTTGTTAAAGCCATCCAGTTGCGGTATTTCTGTTATAGCAGCACTAGATGACTAAGACAGTGCCTGTAGGTGAATTTGAACCGCCAACCTTTCAGGTAGTAGCTGAGTGCTGAACTGTTTGTTCCAGCTGGGGACTTTGATACATTGGTAGAATTGTACAGTAATGTCTGTTTATCCACAGGACATGATGAAGGACTTGTTTCAATAAGTGGTGGAAATCAAGATATGCTATGGCTACATGTCCTTGATCTACCTGTCTAATGATGCTCCCAAAAGAAAATGAGGTCAGCTTTGCCTGCCTTGTTTTACTGAACCCGTGTGGGTTGCTGATGCTGGACACTTACTTTTCTAAATGCTCAAGAAATATTTGATGAACTATTTTAGAATTCTGCCTTGGGTTAATGTCAAGTTTACTAGTTCGTTGTTTCCAGAATCTACCTTCTCTTTTTGAAAATCAAGGTAGTTCTTTCTGTCTCCCGTCCTCTGCCATTCTCCCTAATTTCTCAGAGATCACTGGCTGGCTTGCAGTCAAACTGGTAAACTGCATCAGTGTCCTAAGAGGTATTGTTAGACTCATATAACAGGAACTCATTAGGTGTCTCCTTACTGATCTTGAGCTTCATGTCCCTGTTGGCTCTTTATGTCCGTTAGTTTTCAGTTTCAAGGCCTTTGTTCTAGATATAAAAGAGAGACGCGAAATAAGAGTTGGGTATATTTCCTTTCCTTATGTTATTGCTTCAAGCAATGGGCTTATATTTTTCTTTTTCTCAGTCTGAAAACTGAAAATACCCTAACCAAGGAAATACAAAAAAATAAGGAAAGTAAAAAGGAGAACAAAGGTCCACTTTGTATTCCCTGGCATTTTCCCCAAGCTGTGTAAATGTGTGCCTCTGTTCCTCATTTACTCACTCTTGTCTCCTCTGCCATTGTGTACCTTTGTTTTGGAAAAAACATCTTCCCTCATCAAGAGCTCCCTCCGGTGCTAGATTGTTTTGTTCCTTTACTAGGCCATTTGTGATTACAGAATCACCAAGTAATTTTAGCCACTACATAATTGAGGCTTGTCTCAACTTTTTGAAATCCAAATACATATTGCATTTTCTTCCAGAGATTCGAGTAAATTCCCACATTCTCCTAAGATTCATGATGAAATGATGAGATGGGTACGTATACTGACCCAGTCATAGAGCTTATATTGCTCTCTCCTGCATACTTTTGGAAAGACTGTCCTCAAATTGAAGGGATTCAATATATGGTATAATGTGTAAGGCACTATGCTAGGTGCTAAGATATAGCGACCCACAAAAGTTGACTTGAAGTGAAAAGCATTCACATGTGAAGAGCTAAATAGGAATCTGCTTTTCAAAACAATAATAGATGAGGCAGTGTATGAAATGGATTTGTTATTCCCGTGTCCTTGTGCACTGCTTCTAATGTAACTCTTTCTTGGGTCACCTTCAGTAGCTGACTCCGGTCTGGTGTCACTGACAGACCAATCCCTGGTTGCTTCCCTACTCTACAGCCTCACATTCCAGAGCCCAACTCCAGCCTCATTTGCCTCAGACAGATAAGGAAAGGTAGCGTGCACACTTCCTGCATATCACAGGTTGTTGATGAGTCTTCCTCCAATCTTGATGCTGCGTTCTTCATATAATCCAGCTTCTTGGATTATTTGCTCAACATACATATTGAAAAAGTATGGTGAAACTATACAGCCCCAATGCACACCTTTCCTGATTTTAAACCACGCAGTGTTCTGTTCGAACAACTGCCTCTTGGTCTATGTACAGGTTCTTCATGAGCACAATTAAGTGTTCTGGAATTCCCATTCTTCGTAATGTTATCCATAATTTGTTATGATCCACATGATCGAATGTCTTTACATAGTCAATAGTCTGGTATTTTCTGCTTTCAGCCAAGATCCATCTGACATCAGCAATGATATCTCTCATTCCACATCCTCTTCTGAATCCAGCTTGAATTTCTGGCAGTTCCCTGTCGATGTACTGCTGCAACTGCTTTTGAATGATCTTCACCAAACTTTCACTTGTGTGTGATATTAATGATATTGTTTGATAATTTCGCATTCTGTTGGATCACCTTTGTTTAGAATGGGCACAAATATGGATCTCTTCCAGTCAGTTGGCCAGGAAGCTGTCTTCCAAATTTCTTGACATAGACGAGCGAGTGGTTCCAGTGTTGCATCCGTTTGTTGAAAGATCTCAGTTGGTATTCTGTCAATTCCTGGAGCCTTGTTTTTTGCCAGTGCCTTCAGTGAAGCTTGGACTTCTTCCTTCAGTACCATCGGTTGTTGATCATATGCTGCCTCCAGAAATCGTTAAACGTAGACCAATTCTTTTTGGTACAATGACTCTGTGTAGTCCTTGCATCTT